GGGGAGAGGGGAGGCAGCGAGCGAGAGAGCGAGGGGAGCGCGGGCGCTGAGCGGCGCTCACTTGGAGCGCGGCGAGCGAGCGAGGCGAGGCTGATTCCATGTCCCCCGCTGCCGCCCAGCCAGACGCGCGAAGATGATGGCCATGAACGCCAAGCAGCCTTTCGGCATGCACCCGGTGCTGCAAGAGCCCAAATTCTCCAGCCTGCACTCCGGCTCCGAGGCCATGCGCCGAGTCTGTCTCCCAGCCCCGCAGGTACGTAGTGGAGCATAATTACCGCTCTAAGGCACATTTTTTGACAGGCACTAGCTTCATGTTTTTTTCATGTCGCCCAGAACAATCGCCGCTGTCTGAACCCCTCTCCTTGTCTCCCCCGCGCTCTCTCCCGGCGCTCTCTCTCTCTCTCATTCATGTCTCTGATCCACACGTCTGTTCCAGCAGAGCTGCTGCCTCCGTATTAATTTTTATGACCTGGGCTTTGAGGAGAGGCATCTCGGTTGCTTGAAAATGTGTTTTAATCCTGAGTTGACAGTATTCCCCACTGACCGCGCCGTGCGCCTTCTCGCTTGCAGCTGCAGGGTAATATATTTGGAAGCTTTGATGAGAGCCTGCTGGCACGCGCCGAAGCTCTGGCGGCGGTGGATATCGTCTCCCACGGCAAGAATCATCCGTTCAAGCCCGACGCCACCTACCATACCATGAGCAGCGTGCCCTGCACGTCCACCTCTTCCACCGTGCCCATCTCCCACCCTGCCGCCCTCACCTCGCACCCGCACCACGCCGTTCATCAGGGCCTCGAAGGCGACCTGCTGGAGCACATCTCACCGACGCTGAGCGTGAGCGGCCTGGGCGCCCCGGAGCACTCGGTGATGCCCGCACAGATCCACCCGCACCACCTAGGCGCCATGGGCCACCTGCACCAGGCCATGGGCATGAGCCACCCGCATGCCGTGGCACCGCACAGCGCCATGCCCGCGTGCCTTAGCGACGTGGAGTCAGACCCTCGCGAGCTGGAGGCCTTTGCGGAGCGCTTCAAGCAACGGCGCATCAAGCTGGGGGTGACCCAGGCGGACGTCGGAGCGGCTCTGGCCAATCTCAAGATCCCCGGCGTGGGCTCGCTCAGCCAGAGCACCATCTGCAGGTTCGAGTCTCTCACCCTCTCTCACAACAACATGATCGCGCTCAAGCCGGTGCTCCAGGCCTGGCTGGAGGAGGCAGAGGCCGCGTACCGAGAGAAGAACAGCAAGCCGGAGCTCTTCAACGGCAGCGAGCGGAAGCGCAAACGCACGTCCATAGCCGCGCCAGAAAAGCGCTCGCTCGAGGCCTACTTCGCCATCCAGCCCCGTCCTTCATCCGAGAAGATCGCGGCCATTGCGGAGAAACTGGACCTTAAAAAGAACGTGGTGAGGGTCTGGTTCTGTAACCAGAGACAGAAACAGAAACGAATGAAGTACTCGGCTGTCCACTGACTGTGGCGGGGCGCAGCGTTGGGAGCCAGGAGAGTCTAGGACGCATCGCCCCCTTCCGATGGCAGGGACGGTCGTAGGGAAATGTTTCCTAGCAGGTCAGGCTCTCTCTCCCGAAACCAGACTTTCCCTTTTATCCCGCCTAGTTGCCTCCCCAGCCTTCTCTTCTCTTTTATTCCTTTCTATTCTCACCAAAAAAGTTTTGGCGCTGGAGCGGGGTGGGAATTCAAGGGTGGGCCTGGAGGGACTTTGTGCTGTCCGCGGTGCTGAAACTCGCCGCGCGCGCCTCCGGGCAGAGCCTCAGAGCCCAGGGCAGTGAATGGACCCCGCCGCCCTGCCCGACGCTGGGGTGAAAGCACCACTTTGCTAAGGGCTAGGCAAAGGGTGAAGGAATGGAAAGGATGTGATAAATAATAATATATAGAGTCTAGGATATCTAAGTGGAACACAAACATGTACTGGAGATTTATTAGAGTATATAAAATACACGTATGTTTCCAAAGGATAGCCTTATACTCCCTTCGCCTAAATTTTATCCATCTTAGACTTTGGTTTGCCGTAAATCCTCATAAAAAGCATGGATTAGGTTCAGGGAAAGTGTACGGAGAGGTAGGGGCTCTGAGTTGCTCGAGGTAAGTAAGGGTCCAGAAAAGGAGGGTTCAGTTCAGCGACTGCAAAAGTTGGGATTTGCAAGCAGCAGCCAGCACCAATTCTGGCCGTTCTTCCTGACCTAGTGGGTTCTGAGTGTTAGTTACCTCCTGGTGGAGAGCAGGGGTTGGTACTGTTCCGGATCTGACCCACTGAGGACTCTCGGACTGCCTGCTCAGCACTTCCAAAGCGATTGTAACTTCTCCGAGTCATATGCAAGTCCTTCCAACACGTCTCACCTCATTGCGCGTTTATTACTGTTGTTAGCCTCCTTCATTCCTCCTGTTTATTTAACTCCACTTCTTTCCTTCCCTTTCACTGAATGTCTCTCTGTGGAGGTTCGCTTACAGTTTTGGCGGGAAGAGGAGCAGGACCACCAACCTGGACCCTTCCTTCACACACCAGTCCCTTCACCCGCCCACCTGCCTCATATTTTATTTTTTCGTTGCTTCTTGTTTGTGTGTTGCCGTGTGTGATCTTTGGTTTCATTCTCAAAATAGGTACAAATAAAATATTAAGTTTTCTTCTGTCTTTACCCTCTCAATTGACTTCTAAAATAAATGCTTTATTTTTCAACCTGAATCGCAGTGGTTTTCCTTCTCAGGTGCTAAGAGATAGAAATCTTGCGAAGGATTTAACAGTGAGAGCCCTAAGGGGCCAGGCGATCACACTGCTCCTGTCCAGCCCCGGCCATTTCTTCTCCCCACTCTTCTTTCCCGGAAGCCTGTGCTCTCACCAGGTGTCCTCCGGGGACGTCTGGCTGCTTCTCTCTGGATCCCGAGGTTTCAAGGCATTTCCCCCACTACCCAGTGCCAATCTGTCAAGTATTAGCTCAACTGGACTAGGACCACGAACTCTGGAGCCTGGTGAGCGGGTACTTGAGCCCCTATGCTCACCCCACTCACAGGCTAGTTTCCTAACTTCTCTAACAAGACCAGCTGCGGAATAGAGACCTAACACCCAGTTCACCTGGTTATTGCCAGGGCTAGGTCAGGTTGTTTACTTCATGCATCTGGTAGGTGGTGTTCGGCACTTAACAGGAAACAAATTACTTTTAAAGCCTGAAAGGACTGGGGAGGAGATGAGGGAACAGAGTTAAAAAGGGAAAAAAGTGGTTGGTGGGACAAGTGTCTTTTGGAGACTTCAGGTCTTCTAAAATCCATTTGAAGCTGTCCTCTTCAACAGCCTGCCTCAGCTTCACTGCAGAAGGATTAACTCCGGAGAGGCCACTTCAAAGCAGCCAGTGTAATGCTCTGCCAGTCCCCTTCTTTCTGTTTCCTCTGAGGGGGGCGGCACTTCTTATTTGTGAGCCGCAAAAACACTTTCATAATTTAAAAATTAATGCTACAAATCCCGGAGACCTGAAAGAGCTGAGGGTAGTCAAATGTCGGCCGATTCGGAGCAGAGTCGGTTCCCGCTTTTCGCAGTACCCTTCCCTCACCCCCGACGGCAAAAGCGAACTTGTGGGCAGCCCCCAGCTTCCTGGGCCCCAGCCCTTCGCCCCCGCCTTGTTCAACAGCCCTAGCGATTCCTCCATCTCCCTCTCCATCGGGTGTCCTTTAATAATAAATGCCCTTATGCCATTACATTATATTGTGGGTTTTGAAAATTTAAAATACGGCTGATGCAATATTAATTGCCTATAGTGGTATAAAACACAGGGCCGGAGCCCGACCGGGCTGCAGAGGAGGCGGCCGAGAGCGGCCCGCGCCGAAGCGAAGCGCTCCAGATGGATGCGCCTTTGTGGGCGGCTAGGTTTCCAGCAGGTAAGAGCCTTCGGGGTTTCTAGCCAAGGAAAGAACCCGTTACCCACCATCCCCTTTTCCAGAAGTTCCCCGCTGTTACTTATTTTAAAAATTTAAAGAAAAAAATTAACCGCAAAAGTTTGCGAGACTTTGCGGGGGAGGGGGCAAAAGGAGTCGCCTGCCAGCAACTCTGCGCCTCCCCCTCCAGGCGCGGAGGACCGCCGGCGGCGCGGAGCCCTCGGA